CGAAAATAAAGAAAATAAAGAAAATTTATTAATTTCTCAGAACGCAACAATATGTGATAAATGTGAAACACAGTTTTTTGTTACAACATTCTCGTTGCGTGTATCTTATTTTGGGCACGAAAAGCCATCGCCCGGGCGAACGTTCGAATTCCAAAGTGGACCGAGAAACTTGACGTCATAATACCGAGGACGGCAACTAATACTTTAAAGTTCCGAGAAGTTCCGTGAAGAAATTCATCGGACCGTAAAACAAACGTACGCGGAGGCAGATCCCCGTGAAACGGTAGCGAGAAAAGTGTTGAGCTCACCACCATTCGAGTGCCGCCATCGCGAACGAGGAATCCGGATAACCGATGCACAATTCGCTAGTTTATAATGGAATGACTTAAACGACCGCCAGCACAAGAGGAAGGAAACAGAAGTAAAAGAACAATGGTTCCGAAATATATATATTTGGTCCCACTTAACGCATTAGCATAATATCTACTCACCGATTGGATGCCTTCTGAGAAGCTGCGCAAATTCAGGACGACTCGCAGTGGTGCCCAGGCTGACGAAACCTGAAATTTTTAAATATAATAAAAATCATTAAAAACGTTAAACCATTAATTAACAGTAAAATATTTCGCCATATTTTCGGATTAATACGCAATCAATAAGAAGATGACAGGAATTTTGCTGCGCTCATTTGAAGTCAGAAGCAAAAATTGATATTATATTCATATCAATCGTTAATTGACAAACGGATTTCTGTTTAACTAAATTTCTGTAACAATGAAAAAATTGCAACGTTTTGCCACAAAATCTCTTTAAGCATCACTGAACGATTGGACGATTATATCAACGAGCTTTGAGAAAGATGCTAAAAAGAAGCACGGAAGCTAGACTCCGCGTGACGTCGAGATCTCCGGGGGACTCGACTGGTGTCTAAGAGGCGAGCACGAATTCGAGAAGAGTCGCATGGATTGTTCGCGGTCGACAGGCTCGCATGTGCGGTGACGGGATCGTCGAGGTCCGAAGGAAGACGAAGAAGAAGAGAAGGCGGCGGCGGCCGACGTTACCTCTCCGCCATGCCATCCTTCAGCGTTCGCGTTCGCTCCGAGCTTTGCGTGCCAGTCAACATTGGCAAGTAATTTCTTGCACGCAATTGCCCGCTACTGGAATTGCCTGGTAGGCGACCTCAGTCCGTCAGTCATTTACTTTTTAAATCGATCCTACCTGCCCGCTTGCCTCGCCTCGCCTGCCCGTCCGTCCGTAACTTCATACGGCCGACCCTCGTGTGCACGCGTGTGCGAGCACACGCGGCTTCGCGGCACGCGGAATTTCCCAATGCCGAAGCCGATTCACGAGAGGCATTCTCCTTCTTAACGGCGTTTCTGTCGTATTATTAGGATTTCACACAATCCGTTTCAACACACAGTGATATCTAAGTTTCCGCGAATAAAACTTTACAGATTTTTATTATTTCAGAGAATTGAAAAGTAGAAGCAAACACACGAGATGTAAGAAGCTGCTTAATCAATAATTCTTACTTAACGTTCTTTTATTTCAGATTTATATCAATATAATTTATTATTATCTTCGTCATTTGCAGTGCACAGACCTGCTGATAGGAAGTAATGTCGCAAGAAATAGTAATCATTAATTATGATGTTTTCAGTTGCACAAAGAGGTAAGAAATGTAAGGTAAGAAACATACTAATTTTGTTCTCATTGACAACTGTCGCGCTGCGGACTATAAAGACTCTCGGACGGCAAGCAAAGCGGCTTCGATATATGGCTTAACATCGCGATGTTATGGCTGGATTACGTCGCGCGTTAATTTTCTTGTCGAGTCAGTCGAGCGTATCAGGATGTTCTGCGATGTCGCGCCCCGTATCATTAAAGTCGCGAATAAATTGCTCGCTTGAGTACGGACTGCGCGAAGGATTATCGAGAATCGCCGAACACCGTTTCTTAACCCTTGAGACTCGCGATAATGGTCATCCTGATATTAACCGTACCTAGGATCGGAGTGGTTTCTATACACAGCATATTACGTGGCTGAAAGGCAAACTTAGAGCGGAAGGGATCGATATACACGCCGTTATTTTACATACGAACTACGCGCGGAGGTTTCACGGCTAACTAGGTACTCCATAATATTTTCTAATATATATAAACTGATCTCAGAAATAAATCAAATTACAATTAAATTAAGAAAATATCATTATTTCTGAAATCTGTAAGGCGCGATGATTATAATACAATGCTACAGTAGAGTAAAACACGGAAGGTATGTCGGACATCGTTTAATTTATCAATTTGAATTTCTTCGGATAGACGAAGATACTTAGTGGCCAAATTATTTTGCAACGCGCTTTGTCGTGCGAAATGGTCGCACATAATGGGAACATAATCCTTTCACCAGCGTGACGTTTCGAGCAGCTGGGTCGGCCCGTGACTCTAATGTGAAAAAGAGGGAAGAATTATCCTCCGAATCGAGGCTACCAATAACCAATAATTGTATGTTTAGCGACCGCGCTGCGCGTTTGCATTCGTGCCGGCACGACAAGCCGGACCGCTGGGGAGAGCAAGGCAACGAGGAGCAAAATGACTATATCTTAATCATCTTTGGTTATTGCCTTTCTAGACCGTGCGTTCGACTTCGCTCGTGGGAAACCATCTCGCGAATGTGAAAGAGAGAACGCTGAGAGATCCTTCGCGGAAAGTTCGCGGCACGCATATGTGCTTATCATCCCCGGTAACCGAAATACAAGCTGCCCGCGAAGAGCTGCCTTCCTATTTATTTAGCAAGTATTCGCCTTGTTAAGACAAAATTAAATAGCATAACGATTACTCGTGCCACTTTTATATTTGCCAAAAAAATCTTATATATATTTTTTTACGAAATGACACATTTTGAAATGACACGAGGAATTTTTATGCTTTAATTCTATCTTAAAAAGAAATTTAACACCTGTTCAAAAATTTCAAAGTCATCATATCGTGTTACAATCAACGCAGATTATAGATTTCACAAAAAATAACGACAATCGCCCAATCCATATCCAATTATATTTATTCCTAAAATTAATCTCCTGCAAAATATTAAGAGCTATCTGATTAGCGCTTGAAATTTGTTATGCCTTAAAAAGAATTTATAAATTCACTAAGTATGAGCGCTATAGCGCTTGTACAAAAAAATTTCAATGTATACATCTTTAATTGTACGTGAGATATAAGAAAAATTACGTATAAAAAAAGTGCGAATACGTCACATGTGCTGGAAGTATTAAGGGACAAAGCATGTCGAAAATTGATGTATACATGTGAGAAATCGTATCTACATGATCCGCACGTAAAGCATTATTGACGCCCATACCCGCAGGGATAAACTGTCATTGATCGAGTATGGGATCTACTTAAAAGACACCGGAGACGCATGCCACCGATAAGCGGGCTCCTTCAGTTTATCGCGGAATTTTGTTGCTAATTTTAGCGCTAACTTGATCATTTTTTCTTTTTTGACAGCTAAACAGATGCATAATCTAGATTTAATTTTCAGTGATTTGTCCAATTCAATATAAATCACACTTCAATATAGCACAACAATTCTTTAAAAAATAATAATAAGCTTTTTATATGTAAAATTATTGATATAGAATTTTGGGGCCATCATTGTACGATATATGTATATTTTATGAAATTTATTTATCACGCGGCCTTACAATGTATCCATTTTAATCTTACTGTCTGCAGCAATGGATGGCGCCACCGACTGCTTTAATTAATTGAAATGCAAAATAAAGCATTCATCTCTAGACTCTACTATTGCACAATAACATTATATTAATGTATTCGTGCATTCTACTAGATTTGCACAATAATAATAAATTTAAAAATTTTCTAGCAAATTTATAATCTGTATTTTTAATTATAATATAAATCTAAAACGTTAATAATATAAAACTATTTTTAATTATATTTTGACGACCATAATATATAGTTATAAATAATTTTATGAGAAACAATAAAATATAAGTTTCAACTACAGCAGTTATGAGATTGATTTCAAAACTCTGAAAGAATCATGTATTGATTTCTATAAAAAAACGTAATTCTGGAAAAACGTATCACATCGACCTTGCAAAACATTGCATTGATATTAATATATAATACATCCTTAATTTAATTCGGGGATTTATTATATATATATATATCAAACGAGAAACGTGATGGAAATTCCAACGACTACAAAACGTGCTCCCATGTGCTCTGATAAAGTAATCTGTATGACGTTGGCAGACAATCTGTAGTGAGTTATAAGTCCATTAATGCTTGGCATTCCCCGAGGAATTTGATTAAAACGAGAACCGTAATAAGTACTTTGTTGCGTTATAATAAGCATCAATGTATTGACAAATTTTATGTTAACTCAATCGAAGGTTATCAACAGAAAAAATATTTCTTTGATAAATATTTTCCATGCACAAATATAGTATATTCTTCGAAATATCATAATTTTGTTATGATATTCTTCGAATATTAGTTTTTTAAACACTTTTGTTTATGCTATTGATTCATATTTATAACATATACTATAACTTATAGATAACTCGCACAGAGATAACACCGCAAACATAAACTTTGACTAAAACAAGTTTTTCACAAATTCTTCAACTTTAAAAAGAAAATAATAATTTATAATTATTTTCCCGGAATAATACAGATAGTTAACTACATTAAAAATATCACCGAAAATTGTTGAGAATGTTCATAGATAAAACAAAGTGTACTTTGTGTGTGATTTCTAGCATACGTGGATAACTGTAAGATGTATTTCGCATTGTTACTGGCATATGACGAAAATGTACATAAGATCATCGCACAATATACTAAACATTCGTGTACTAAACATTGACCATGAAATTTTTCTGAACGACAAAAAAATCATCTGACGCTGAAATCATGAATGTCATCGCTGGGTTATCGGAACTGTTAAGATTTAAACCAGCTTAAACACCGTACGCGTTGTTAGTATTCGAGAAAGATGCGCGCATTCTACACGGTTCTCATACTAGTGATCTTCGTTAGCCTCGCCACGGGGTGGTCTTTCTCAAATATGACGACGTCCATTAACAAGATAATACAGTCGGAAAATAACAGGCAGCAAATTTTTACCTCTAACAAGAATGATAATACTACATCGAGTAAACCGGAGATTACAATGCAGAGCAGGATAATATTCGTACCTCGGAGAAGTAAAGTTCACTGTCAGCCGGGCCAACAGATCGATAGACGTGGCAAGTGTAGAACGGTGTGGTGAATAAATGCCAGAAATAATAAGCAAGGTATACGTTTGTTTTGAGTATAATAAATGTGTTACAGTGTTGCAAGTTAATTTCTTAGTTTTTTTTTTTTTATTCTGCTTGAATTCTTGTGTTAATTTTATTTAATTTATTTTTTGTGTACTTTTTATATGTATAATTAATAATATTAATTTATTATTATTTAATCATTATTTAATATTAATAGTTTTTAATTGAATTTAACTACTTTTTATAGAAGATCTAAAATATTACAACACAACTGATGAAAAAGTAATCTTTCGAAAAAAGCAAACAATGCAGAATTAATTTTTATTATTAACTGCGTAGCTTTTAAGAAGCATAAGCTTGAAACTATTAGATTATGTGTGCGTCTATTTCAAGAAGTGATTTATAATCATTATCGCATAAGATAATCGTGCATAGCAATAAAGATATTCCCCACACTCATCTCAAGTGCCATTAAAGGTTATCGAGAAAATTTTCAAATGAAATAGACGAGAGTTTTCTTCAATAAATTTCCGACTAAAGTTAATAATTTTAACAGAAATCAATGTGCTATACTCTAGATATCTTACTCGGTATATTATGTTCTTACG